TCTGCCAGGTTACCTGGCAAGTCTATCTGCTTTGTTAATGTGGAGCACTCTTCTCGCACCAGTTTCCTGCCCCATTATAATGGAGCTGAACGCTTTGTTAATTCCTGACAATAGTCTCATCTGACTTATGCTTATAGAATAAGTGGAAGAAGACACGTTTCCAACTTTGGGGGAACATTAGAGATTCTGAAAGGTTTAGAAACCTACCCTTGCAATCCTCTCCCTAAAAAGAAATTCAGCTGGCAGGGTCTGTACCATAAACCTATCTCTTGATAATGGGAAAATAGCTGGATGAGGTAAATTTCATTCTAAATGAATGACCCACTGTTATTTTAATATGCAAACATTGTGGATGTGCACAGTACTCACACAGAACTTAAAGCAACAAGTTTGCTTAAATTCTCCCCTCTCCAGCTGGCGTATACTTGCTTTCCCTCATTCCCCTAGTGCTTTGTTCAGCCACTAAACAATATACCCTGTAGCTCTGACATAGAGGAGCATGTGACTCAATGAGAGACAATAATGTAGTTATATAATGCCATTACTTTTCACCTGGTGAATTTTCTAGTTTACAGATGGATGTAAACAAAAAGTGAATAGAATGTGACATCTGATCACTGTAACACATAAATCAATGTAAATTAATCATGCTTACAGTTCAAAATAAAGCTACAAGTATAACAGCCTGGAGCAAGTTACAGATGTTTTTATGTCTTGTCATGTCTGCCAGCTCACATTCACGTTTTGGAGTTTTTTCCCCTCTTTCATTTTCAATCTTAAGTCAGTTTTGAAACAAGTGCACATTCTTTGGTATTAGCAAAAAAAAGTTTAGATAGAATATTTCACGGCAGAAAGGGATTTAGGCTGCCTGTCTTGTGACTATCCTATTTTAAAGGAAACCTGTCATGAGAGAAAAATGGAGGCAGCCATTTCTACCTTCTTTCTGCATTTACTAGTTGCCTGCCTGTCATGATTACCCTCTAAGTATTTACGGATCTGCATAATTGGTATGCATCACTTGTGCCGGTAACTCTTACAAAAATAGAGAGTAAATAAGGGAAAATGAGGGAGAGGATCCAGTAGAGGTCCAGTATAGTGCAATAGTTTAAGGTAAGAATGTTCAGTAAATGATTCAAATAGATCAATATACTTACATCTGATGAACCCACACAAATCTTAGTCAGGGTGGTTGCTTCAAATGTTGGATAATCCAAGCTTTGATACCTTGGATTATCGTTTGATTTGGTGGTTTTGGATGAAAAAAAAAACAACACAAAAAGAATTTACTGTAGATGCAGAGGCACCCATTTAGAAAATAAATATCGAAAACTTGAATCCACAGTTAGTTTTTCTTATTTGATCATTCCACCTCCGTTGCTCTACCAGTCAGCTCTAATTGGAGAGCTGACAAACCAAATCTGATGTACTGACAAGTCTTTGCCATGAAAAGTAGTACATAGTGTAAAAATCTATTTTAACCAGTTTTGGACTCTAGTCTTGCCATACATGCCTAAATATTTTGGGCATGTGTAATATGCCCTGCCCATCCTCCTCCCCTGCAACTCCCTGTTTATCAGTAAATCCTATCTGTCATTTTCACAGCCAGGACTTGTTTAGTATTATAAAAACTCTTGCTGCTTCTGTGTAAATTGGCACTACCAGTACAGCATTTGCAGTGCCAAGAAGAGTTAATATGTAATTTTCGACTTGTAAATTCTCAGGTTTCTTCATAGGAGACCTCTGGTCTGCCTATGATGTCAGTTAGTGATATTAAACCCAAATACAAAAAAAAAGCATATTGTGCTGCAGAAACAGCACGTATCATATATGCATGTCTGTTTTTCTTTTAACTCTGTGAGTGCTTTCAAATCCTTTTCTGAAAATTGCCTCCTCCCTGGTTGCTGCTTTTGAAGCGACTCCTTCCCCTTATAGGGTCCCATGGAGTTTGTTGCATGCACGCTCCCAGCTGGCACCATGGACAAGTCTCCTTACATCCGTAGAAACAGCCACAGCTGTAAGCCGACCTCCCTGCCCTCCCAGTGCCTGCGCTGACTCTAGCACACTGCACATCAACACAGTACTCAGGGCACATACTTCCCTGCTCGGAGCTTCGGGGAATCGATGCTCTGCAACCTGGAGCCAGCGGCGGTGAACAGCACAGAATGGAAGTGTTTGTGCCCATATATAAAGCAAAACCATATGCTTGGAATGTGTTCAGTTCAGGGGAGGAACCGGCATATGCCAGGCGTGTGTACACCCAGAGTTATTTCAAGAATGCACAAAACTGGAAATGCGAGTGAAAAGAAGAGGGATGTGAGCTTGCAGGGAAGGCTTTTGAAAGTGAAAAAAAACAGTAAGAATTGATTTTGAATAAAAAATGTATGTGGATCCGTTGAATGCTTAATATGTAGGTATGTGTTTAGTAGAAGACATTTTAGGGATTAGTGTCACTTTAATGCAACTTTGGTGGTCAACTGTGGTCCTTTCTATCCTCTCATTAATCAGCCCTATTAAGTTCTTTCTCCGCTTTTCCGTTAGATATTATTTTGCTGCTGATTTTTCATTTTATTTCTTCTGCTAATTATATTAAACTATTTGTCATTTTTGTTTTGTTTTTGACTTTTTTTAGTGACACATTTTACAAAAGCACAGAAAAATTGGGGAAAATAGCTAATCCGTCGCTTTTGTAAATAACTTCACCATGCTTTGTAATAGAATTATAATATAAATGTCTTTATAAATGGGACAAATTATAAAATATGAACTTTTAAGTAACACCAGTTGATTTAAAATGAACACTGGTAAAACTAGAAGAAAAAAGCAAATGTTTGTCTATACTATGTAATGTTTAATAATGTTTGTCTACAGATTGCTTAGAAAATTAATTTGCAAAATAATATTGCGAAGAGAAATCTAGTGACTAGCATATTGGCCACAAGAGGTCACCTAGTACCATGAAGGTTTTTTAAAAAAGAAATCCCACTTTAAACACCAAATAAAGATAGATATAGTGCTCTTAGCATTTCCGGTGGTCCTAAGAAGGAGGAAAGCTTGAGGGCATTAGATAAAGAAAACGTCCTGCATCTCCTTGGTAAGAGTCAGGTAAGTTAGCCATGCCCCTTTCCTATTAAACAGGTAATGGGGTCAATGTTTCACCTCATACCAGCTTAAAATACCTCAAATAAACAGAAGTAGAGGATCCATTGTTATTAACAAGGGGTTGGTATAGCTTGAGGTCATATGTTACTTTACTGCATTTTTCACAAAATACCTTTTATCATTTAAGTAAAGGTAAGATTATTTTAATTTATTATGCATTGAAAATCTTGCTATCATCTTGTACAGAATGCCAAGACCCACATCAGCCACAATAGGTACCTCTATCCCTGTTGGGCTTTTAGGTTTTATTTTAGGGAGATTGAAACAATGGGCTTGCCCGGAGATTGGTAAGAACAGTGAACATTTCAAGTTGGTGATAACAGAGCCAGAACATTTGATTCAGATCTATCACCAGGAGTCCCCAAGAGGTATATGCCATATAGGCACCACTTGTAACTAAAATATAACTTTTAGGTAAAATGTAAATTTTAGCAGCTTTTTGGTTTTGGTCCGAGGTTCTGTCGCCACCAAAAGCATGGAACATGTACATTATGTTCTTATTTCCCCCTGGGTAATCTGGTTTACTCCTACCATCCAAAAAGGCATACTGGTGATGTAATTGGTTTCCACCCAAATTAGTCTTACAGTGTGTGTGTGCATTTGTACTACTGCGGTAAGGACATTTGATTTTGAGATTCTACAATTAGACATTGAGAATTGTCCCTAGATAAGTGTCACAGCTGAAAGAACCAGTGCTACGTAAATAAGGGATTTTTAAAAAAGTGTCCTCTAATGTAGTGTCCTATTCTAGGTGCCTCTTACAAGGTCTGACTTTAGGAATTTGTGTCACTGATTCAAATCAAGAATTGCTGGTCAGGAAAGTAGAGAAAATCACGAGTCCTGATTTTTATACGTGTTTGGCATTGGTGATTTCTACCTAGAGGTTGTATTGGAAAAAAAAAGATTTCTTTATTTTGCAAATTATGTTCATTCTCCTTAAGGCCTTATTCACACACAACGCAAGCAAAATTGTATATTGCCTATATGCATGCACTATATGCAATCCTAGAATGCATCACTCGTAATGGAATTTTTAATGTGCTGTACGCGCGTATAGACGCGTATATACACGTAAATACGCAGGAATACGCTGCCCGGACGCATCTCTGTTACATTCTGTTTTTGCGCATATATACGCTACACAAATATACAGCTCTATACACGGCTGTGTGTGTTAAACCCAAGCAAAACACATCTAAAACAGTGCACCGGAATGCATCAAACTGCATAAAAAATGTGCATAAACGCATATGCGCCACCGCATCCAGAACTGGTCTGGAGATGGTGTGAAGAAGCCTTTTCCTTCATCCATAGCTAATATTTTTGAAATTGATATTTAATATTTATTAAAGTCTCTTAGCATGTAAAGGGAAAATTAAGATTTTCAAATATTGTTTGCATGCAATGTAATGTCATTTGCTTTTTATTACATAGACTTGGATTCTTATATATTTCATAGGTTTACCATGGTTTTAAAGTTTGTTTTTTTATTTGAAAGCCAAATATTTATTACATCCAGAAATATGACGGACTATTTTCAGTTCATTGCAATGACAAATTTTTCTTGCATATGGACAAACTATTTCTTGGAGTTTTCAGGATAATCTATTCTGCCATACTGTTATAAATTCGCAAAATAAAAGATCATTACACTGCAGTAGGTTTTTCGCTTAGGATCCCGTTCAAGGCTTATTCAATTTTAATGCAGTGACATGTGTAGGTTTATGTATGAACTAAAAATTAAGCATATATCAACACACATGCCAGCTATGCTCATCCATCAAGGCGCTACCTGTACATATGGAAAAATGTTTAATATTTATTCTTCATTTTTTTTCCAGGGATTATTGATCTTATTGCAGAATTTGCCCACCGCACACTGGGAGAATGAAGATATCAGCGTCCTCCTGGCTGAAGCCTACAGACTAAAATTTGCTTTTGCAGATGCCCCCAATCACTACAAGAAATGACCTGATTCATTGCAGGCAACATTTGAAAACCTCCCTCCTTATTAGTGATTTATATGAATATGTACAATATAAATACTTTTTGTGCTTTTTTATTGCAGTGGTACAGTTTTCACAAATTCACAAAATAATTATGAATCATATCTACAGTTGCTTAGGTGTGAATTCTGATAGACCAAGCCCATTGTAACATGCCATATACCAAAGAAACATATTTTCAATGAATTTACAGGGTAGAACTAGAGGAAAATGGCATCCTCCCACTTATGGCGGGTGCTCTGAAAGTGATCGTTTGAGATTTGTCAAATGTAAAGTATAGTAAGCATTAAAAATCCTAAGCTGACAATGTTGCTTGGAAGTTTTTTTTACAGTTATGTTGCCTTAGTAATTCTAAATACTAAAGAAAAGAAAAGTCTATAACTTCTACCCGTTAACTATGAGTTCTGTATAATGCATTTGTGATAGAAAGGGAGCTGTTGTATTAATGGCAGGTTGCTTTTTGGTATTTAAAACTGGAGTCACCATTGCATAAAAAATATGTTATTATTTTTCCCCTGCCACTGACAGTTGGATTTTAACTCTAATGCATTTAGCACAAATAGAACATTTTATAAATGGTTTTAAATACACTTCAATTTTCTTATTCTGAGAGTTAACAAGTCAGAAAGTTAGACTTATTTAATGCCCCTTCCCAGTTTTGCGCTTTTTTTTTTTCTTCAAACTCATGGCAGTTCACCAGTGGATTAACACCTATAAAATACAACCATAATTATTTCACCTTTATTCTGGGTTAATTCTGGGCCTGAAGTTCAGAAGCTCAATGTTTCCTGTGTCACTGTGCTTGATGATGCCAAGCAAAATCGTATAGTCATATGTAGCTTTTTACACCAATATTGAGATAATATATGTCAAAAAGCTGCTTACAAGCTAAACATTGATCAGAGTTTCTTTGCTCAAAATTGCACTTGTCTATTGCCACTTACAAAACATTTTTTTGTAATTGTTTTATAATGTTTTGTAAGTGGTTTAAACAGTTATTTCTGCTTCTTGAAAAATATACTGTTTCAAAATATGTCCTTAACACTATTATGACTGTAGTTTACCTTTTAAATTAGAGTATTAATTTTACAAACTGAAATAATTGGAGAATCATGGAAAATTCTTATTTGTTGTACTTTTGTTGCTTACTTTTGTCATTGCATATAATTTAAAATTTTCTTCTCTTTTGGTATACAATGCCTTGTAGTATCTGAAATAATTTGTTACTAAAGCTTAAAGTGTACCTGACAATTTCACATTTTATCAGCATCTATTTTTTGTAATACGGAATTTATGAGAATTCTATCTATCCTTAGTCCTGTTTAGTAAAGATGGACTTGTAACATGCAGCAGTGTCGATGGACTCTTAGGGTACACTTTGCAAATTTTAGGTGGTTCTTGATGAACTGGCCGAAATTTGCCCAGTGGGTGCCGCAGTTGGCACTCTTATGGTCGTCATCCCTTAATCAGGTGACCGAAGGAGCCAGTAAGGAAATCTTCGTACCAACAGAGCAGGCAGCCAATGAGCTGCTGACTCTGTTTTTGTATTCTGATAATGGACAGCAGTCGCTATCAGAATACATTGGAGACAGCAGGAGATTTCTCAATCAACAATGTCAAGCCTGCATTTTGGGGGGAAAAAAAAAGTATGACCGGATTTAGGCTACCTGCTGAAAAATGTATGTTCCAGCCTCCAAAGTGCTGGCACAGCAGTGTATTTGCTACAGGAACATAGTAACAGTAAGAGAAGAGCCATTTCAATATGGCTTAAATTTGACAAAGTTCATATGTGCTCCTTGAAACATATGAATAGATATACACTATATTGCCAAATGTGTCGGAGCACCCTCCAAATCATTGGATTAAGGTGTATAAAATCATGCACCTAGGCATGCAGACTGCTTCTACAAACATTTCTGAAAGAATGGGTCGCTCTCAGGAGCTCAGTGAATTCAAGCGTGGTACCGTGATTGGTTGCCACCTGTGCAATAAGTCCATCCGTGAAATTTCCTTATTACTAAATATTCCACGGTCAACTGCGAGCCAGGCCTTTTCGTCCAACATGAGTCCCTGACCTCACACATGCGCTACAGGTAGAATGGTCAAACATTCCCATAGACACACTCCTAAACCTTGTGGACAGCCTTCCCAGAAGAGTTGAAGCAGTTATAGCTGCAAAGGGTGGGCCAATCCAATATTGAACCCTAAGGGCTAAGACTGGGATGCCATTAAAGTTCATGTGCGTGTAAAGGCAGGCGTCCCAATACGTTTGGCAATATAGTGTAGGTATTGTTATAAGTCTGCATGACATAATGAACTTTAAGCAGGTAGTCCATCTGGTAGCCCACAGGTTGAACAAGTACTTTCAAACTATCCCTAACAGACTCCACAGGCCGTATAATATTACATATTTTAATAAATTGCTTTTAACACCTGCACAAAGCTCTAACATTTACTTGATTCAGTAATTTCAGTTAAGTGAACTAAAGTTTTGATAGTAATAAGAGTTACTTACAGTATATTGACCCAGATATTTTTTCTTAATCATCAAATGACAATTTTTAATAATAATTTCCAGTGTTGAGCATGAAGAAAATTAAATAATATTCTCCCTGCATGTGTCTTAAACAGTTGTATAGAATCACATCTATTTTTTTGTACTAGTAATATTGTTTATTTAAAATGTAATTAAAACTTGTTTAAACATTTTAAATATGATTTACAGTTAGGGTCTTGTACAAAATAAAAATACATTCTAGATAAAAAGTAATTTTTAGTAATAGTATAATTTGGACTGAGCAAGCTTGATGTATTAATAAAAAACAGTTGATTAAGTCAGTTGAGGGTAGATCTGCAGTACTTAAGTGGAGCTGACTTATGAAAAGTTGAGTACAGGAAAATGTGATAGATCACAAACCTCTGCTCTGCTTCCATTTTAAAAGTGACAAACTAAGGAGTTAAATCTTAAAAATTAATTAAATTACCTTTACTAATAACGACAATGTGTCTTATTTGTGTGTCCCTCAGCTGTAGATCCTCAAATCATCTCTGAATTGGTGCTGATATTGTCCTTCCTTCTGGAGGGTGGCTACTTTTGTTCCTCATGGTCCCGCTGTGTGTGTTAAAGAAGCCACCACTCCAACTTCACTTCTGTGATGGACTATAATCTCAATACAAATTAGTAAACTAAACATGAGATTGTAGTCCATCACTGGAGGGAGCTTGGAGTGGTGGCTACTTTACACCACACACACCGACCATGGGGAAGAAAAGTAGCCCCCCTCCAGAAGGAAGGACAGTGTCAGCATGAATTCAGAGATGATTTGAGGGTCTATAGCTGAGTAATACACAATAAAGATAATTTTTTGTTAATAGTAAAGGTACTTGATGCATTTTTAAGATTCAACTCCTGAGTTTAGAGTCACTTTAAGTTTTCTAATATACTTTACAGAATGTTACCGCCATTTTCATTTGGATAAGCAGCGAAGATCATATGCTTTCCATTTTTTCTTTTTAAAAGATGAATTAGCTCCTGAATACTGAGAAATAAATGACAGCAAATGTTTTGCACTGCCCTTAATGAGTAGTGTTTTATATTTGAAGTATTGTGTGTGCATGTAAGAAATTAATGTTTGCAAAATGAGGACATTTTTGTAAAAGTGTTTCAACCATTACCAGCCTGATAAAAAAGTCATTGCTAATGTGCGCATTCTTAATAAAAATATAGAAATGAGCAAACAATTCGGACGTCTTCACGTTTTGATTCTAAGATATATTCCCAAGTTTGCGTCGTGCTTCACATGCGAATAAAGTAAGTCTTCCAAAACATCTTCACATGTGCCAAATAAACAATGAACAATTTTTTTTCACATTTTGGTCTGTAGTAGGTGCTCTGCAGTCTTAACACCATTCCTGTTCTAGGTGACAATGCTGCCCCTTCATACCTGAGGACATGAAGTGTGTTAGTGGCAGGAGCACCAGGTTGAAATATAGATAAATAAAACCATTTAAAAAAAAACTAATGCAGCAACCACATCTAAGGACTGGCAAGCTGCAATATATTAAATATCTGTTCTTGGGTTTAGATACATTTTAAGTAAATAGTATTTTTAATCTAATGTTCAAGCTTCAATTTTATACTTGTCACACATTCTAAAAGGGCACAGATGATATGTATGACGACCTCCTTGGATCTTATAACAGCAGACGTTTGAATGATAAATGGGCAGAAAGTACTTATCAAGATGTATCCATAATTATTATGACTTCCCTTATTAACTGTATTATCATTTGAACAGCAAAGTGTTGTTTTGTATTTCTTTTCAGTGCAAATGTCCTACATAAATTAAAGTATATGTAAACCCTAACTGAATGACATTTAGCTGGCTAAAGCACTGTGTATCATAAACGATTGCTATTATTTTTAAATAAAATACGGTTTTAACCTGTTTTTCATCCTTTGTTGCATCTTCACATTGCTGATCTCCTGCAGCCTTTTGCAGCCACTTTCTTTCTACATGCATGTACTCCACCAGCTGCAACATGTCATTTCTCAGGGTAGGCTTCCTGATGGTAACAGAACAGGAGAACAATTGGGAGACGGGGACAGAATTTTTCCCCTTGTGTAAGGACCTTTTGAAATCTGCAAATTTTAAAAGGTTAAAAACTACTTTAAAGCCCAACTCCTGACTCAGCCCCCTGCTCTTTCTTTACATGGATACTTACCTTTTACCAAGGTATTTAGGCTGGCCATGTCTCCTGGCTGGGGGCTGTCCACGGTAATGCAAAGAGCAATGCAGACTTGATGATGTCAGCACTGGTCCCTGCATCATTACACAGTTAAGGAACAGGGCCGTGGTGATGACCTGCATTACTTGTAAAATCCCCAGTCTTCCTGGTAAGGGACTCTTAGCAGTGTTCAACCAAGAAGGCTGAGGGCATCTTGTGGCAAAGAGGTTAAATCTGATTATTGCAGCCTGGGCTGCTTTTTTATTTTAGGAACGTGACAGGGTTCCTTTTTGTATTGCTGTTTTAAAAAATGCCCAGAGGTTCTTTTTTTAAACAGCAATAAAATGTAAGGGTAAGTGTACTCATTACTTAACCCTTATCTTTTTGTTGTGTGGCTTGCCCACAGTCATCAAAACGAATTCCAGCCTCATAAATGTGCAAACACAGAGCCAATTATGTGCCAGAGTACAGAAGGAACCTAACAGAGAATCGGTATGCTCTGCATGCCCCAGGATGTTGACAGGAACTGCCATTATTTTCCATCACAAGTCTTCTGCTCAACCTATAACATGCACAATATTGTGTGGTCAGATTTTGGTAAGGATGGAGCAAGGCTGTCGTGTCCCTGGACAGACTGCACTGCTATACGATACGTTTTATTAATCATAAGGTCCTTACATGCAATTTTCTTGCTGTGAGAAAAGCTCTTGTCTTTTAACAAATTAGATTTCTGCTCATACACTCATACACTATTCCTGTTCTAAAAAGTTGGCAA